GGGGGGGAGTGTATTCTAGCCATATTTGAAGTTATTACATCTACCCCACAGCTCCACTGCTGCTCCTACAACAAGAGAGAGCTCAACATCTGGTCACAGAAAACCACTAACAGGTACCAGATTATTCTCAAGATTGCAACTCTGTCTGTCAACAGCTTTATTATTTGTTTTCACCATGTCTATCATTTTTGCATTATAGGTTTTAGGAGATATATTTGTCCTCAGTGCATTGACCTTTCTGAAAAAAAGGTCAGAAGTCACGGATAGTGCTGAAAAAAAGTGAAGTTCACTTAAGATGAAAGAGAGGCATCAGTTCATAAGCTCACAGCTCAGCAACATATGCTTGAAAGATTTGTTTCAGCGATGCATCTAGGTGAGTGAGACAAACAGTAAGTCCTATGCTACATCGAATATGAGGGTCAATCCTAGCTGAGGGTGGCCCTTCATTAGGGGCGGAGCTAGCTCTTTGGCTACAAGTTTGGCCGAACACAGTAGCTTTGGTTCAAACCATATAATCTACTGAATCTGTACAAATAAATAATTAAGAACCCAATAACTTAAAAGGACTAGAACCCCGAATCCATACTCTACCCTTCAGAGAGTATCATACACATAAGATCTAAGTGAAGTTAAGAAATCACCTAATGTTTTTTGCACACCTGAGAGTCTGAGACCTCGTGGTTCTTTTTCACTTCATTGACCACTAGACTACACACTTCGGTGCACTTTATTTTAGATATTACTTCACATTATAAATTCCAATTAGCATAGATGATTACTTAATTTTTTGTATAAAATCATATAGAAAGGGATTTATCCCTTTTACTCTAATAATTAAAGATCTGGCAACAATCAAACTAAATCAATTTCACACATTAAACAACTAAGCATAAAAATCAAAGATATATATATTTTGGGAAAAGGAAAAAAGAAGTCATACAGTGAAATCAATGCCGGGATGGTCAGAGCTCCAGAAGATTTCATGATCTACAACGACGAAGTTCCCCGAAATAGTATCGCCTTCATTCAGCACGTACTCGTAAACGCACTCCTCGTCGTTTACCGTAACCGATAACGCCGTTAGGTTTCCGACGAAACTGAATACCAAAATAGCTATCAATGTGAACACATTGGAGCACTTCACCCCAGCTCCGGCTCCGGCTATCCTTCCCATCTCCGGCCGACGAATTTTCAGTTTTTTCTCCTCGGAATTGTGACAATGTCTATTTTTTTTACTTTATTTATTAGAAGTGGGAAAATAGATTTGGGATTGGAGTGAAAGTCGTGTATAAGACGTGCGAGGATGGAGTTTTGACTTTATTAAGCTGTGACAAATTTTTATATCCAAAAACTTCGACCAAGCTAACACTTGCCAGAAAAATAATTGTAAAATTTGAAAATCTCCATTTCAGTCAAAATATAATTTCATTATTGTAAATACCAAATAATTACTAAAGTATTGTCAATGATTTAAGATTTTAACACTTTTTTCTATTTTAGTCATGGGTTTTTTTTACTTTTAGCATGCGCCTAAAATTATTTACATTGGGTAGCCAAAAAAGTGTATAAAATTTATATAATTTTTATTCATAATATACAAAATGTATATATCTATCTATATCTATATTATACTAAAAGCACTGTACTTAGCGAAATATCGTTCGCCTTTTTATCCTTTAAAGATTTAGTTTACATTGGATAAAATTATAATAAATTTAAATTATTCTCCTAATATCTAGGACATCAAAATAAGTCAAATTTTGTTTATTTAATCATTCCTTATTTGAATGGGTAAGAAGTCCTAATACTTTGCTAAATTTTATGACCATTTTAATTAACAAAAAAATAATGTTACTATATCAATTTGGTACGTGTTAGGAATATAATGATAGAAATTTCTTTTCGAATTTTCTCCAAACGTGCATGTTAGGTTTGTATATATTTTTTTTATTTTCTCCTTAAATATAATTAAACATTTAGATAATATTTGAATAAATTTATTACTGGTAAATTTATACAATTATGAGAAATATATATATATATATATATATATATATATATATATATATTTAATTGATTGTAAAAGAAATAAATGCAAATCGAATGAATCGAACAGCCTTGGCCCTCGAGTTCGATCACCCTTGAACCAAGTGAAGTTTCAACTGAAGAACAGAGTAACAAGATAATAAAAATTAAAGAAAGGCAGTGTATTGCTTTTTATTGCGTAAATGTGATAAGTCTTATAAATTATCAGACCCCCTTTATATAGTAGAGGAGTCCTACCCATAAACAATTCTAAATACAATAAGAAATCTCTTGAGTAGCTAATTAATCGGCCCCTTCTTGATAAGGGCCGAGATTTTCGCCGTGATCCTCGCCCGATTGCGAATATTTCAGCTTTTCGTTATTTGGCTCGGTAAACTTCCTTGGACCTCGCTCGATCTTTTTCTCGCTTGGTCTCGATCTTGGCCGATCTCGATCTTGATCGGTCTCTGGGTCACGAGCTCGGCAATCTAACTTTGCTTTCATGGTTCGATATAACGCGAGGTTGAACCTTGGCCTATCATGTTCCAGTGTCAATCAGTCATACGAAAGGGCAAGCCCGATTTTGACCGTATACAGATAGTCCCCTCGTTTCTCGGAGAGAAGATGACGAGAAACGATACGAATTTTTCAATCCTGTCTCGATGGGCCATGACCTAAGCGACGATCCCGACTATGACATAAGCAACAAGTGGATACTGAAACGTCCCGTCGGTCCGGTTACCGAGGCATTAAATGTCTGTCAGTTGCTGGTTGGCCACTACCGGTTCTAAAACGCCACCAGTAAGCTATAAGTATCGTCACCTTCTTCCCCTCAAACTTTACGCTCAAAACTTCCATCATTCCTGGTTTTTTTCAAAATCTCTTTGCTTTGCAACTCTTGAGCCCAAATCTCTTGATCCTTAAGCAAATCGCATCCTAATTCTTTTTCCTTCTATAACGAAAACTTCTAAGACCGTACCGCAAAAGGAGACCGCCTCTTCGTCGTGGCCTGCCGGTGACGAAGCTGCGATTGAATATCCCCTTGAGGATTTCGTTCTGGGAGGGTGCCCTACTGTTGCCGACTTCAAGATTGAGAAAAACTCCTCGGTACCGGGTCGATGTGAATCGGTCTTGAGGTATATATACACAATTACCAACGACCTCCTTAACAAGGTTAAAGAGGAATGCAACTGGGGCGGAAAACATGTGGTGGTACCTTCGCCTGAGGAGTCGATCTCTACCCACGTGGAGGGTTTCCTAAGTGTTTACACTTACCCTTCACGATGGGCCCCTTAGACCCTGTCATCATCGCCTTCTGCAAGAGGTACGACGTGACCCTCGGCCAGATCCATCCTTCCTTCTAGAGAATAGTGATTCTCCTCCGATTATTTGTAAGCAAAATCGAGGGATGTCCTTTCACCCTCGATCACCTTATGCGCCTTTTATAGTCCCCGACTCTGTCGAGTTGGGTTAGCAAAGCTTGCTCGTCGGGCTAGCAAGGGCCTATTTCGAGCATAGACGAAGCTCGTGACCGAGGTTGGATGGGCCGATTTGTCCGAATAAGGAATTCGGACCTGATCCCTGCTCAAGACATGTTGTTCTTGAGAAATGGAACATGAACCGTGAGTAGTACTTTGCCTTCTTAATTTTGTTGTTTTACTTCTTGTCTTCTTTCCTCATCTATATAACTTTTGGTGCTGCAGCTGTGGCTCAGATGGCGGACATAGTTCCCAAGCTCAAGCAATGGGTCGAGGGCCTGGTGTCCTAGAGACCATACTCCGAGTGTGCTTGGATGGAGTTGTCGAAGGGTCGATGGGAGGCCCAAAATCATGGTAAGTCTCTTTCTTAGAACGATTACCGTGCAAAAGCCCTCCGAATCGGAGGGGGCTAATGAGGGATCTTCGGGCAAAGTTCCTAAACCAGAAGGAGTGAGGCTACTCCGTCCCAAGCTGAGATGGTCAAGAGAGAGACCGGGGGCAAGGCTTCCCGAGCAAAGGAAGATGTTTCAAGAGACGAGTTCGGGGTGATCGATATATCTGGATCCCCTCATATTTCGGACGCCACGATCCGTGAGGCCAACATGTTGGAAGGTCGATCTTGCGAGGGTCCTCAGGGAGCGGTTGATATCCACGGCTTCTTGGACGTGGTCGAGTTTGATGCTTTGGAGGATGCCACCGGGCATGGTGACTTACCGGTGAGCACCGTCATCGGGCGCTACTGGTCTCCAATGAGTCCAAAACTGGTGGACCGATTCCCGGCCCCAAGTGTTAACCCCGATCGTAGGCGTAATATAGTGCTTTCTGTCCCGGAGAATGCCCGGGTCTTCTCTCCCCCCGTAGGGATTGCTAGCTACCTCAGATGCTTGGTGACCGAGGAAGACCAAGCCGTGATGAATGCGGTGGAAGCCGCTTGGAGTTGTAGGTAATTCTAACATATTCTTCCTTGTTTGCAGGCTTCGGTTTTACATCACGAGGCTTTCCACCGAATCCGGGAAGAGCACGAGATTGAGGTTCGGGACCTCACTAAGAGAAGTGACACCTACAAGCTTCTTAGTAAGAAGTTTCAAGCAGATTTAGTAACGGATCGGGATGAGCATGCAGAGATGGTCGAGCAGGTATTCCGAGTGATTCACGATAGTGAAGACGAATCGGAGATAACGACTAATCCGATTCTGCAGGTCCGGTAGAGGCTCAAACAGATCGAGGATCTTCAGAAACAAATATATGCAATACGAGCCGAGGCTGAAGAGTTCAAGAAGAATATGGACATCTTAGCCTCGAAAAAGGAGGTCGTCCAAGCAGAGTTAGAGTCGGCCGAGTCTCAGCTTCGGGTCGCAAGAGAGGAAGCCTCAGTTCAGGTCAAGAAATCGAGGAGCTTCAGTCCCAACTGGACTCGGCTATCTCTGATAAGGCGAACTTGGCCAATGAACTTGAGGCGGCCAAATCTGAGGTGGCCATGGCCAACACCAAAGATGATGCTAAAGTGGGCCAATATAAAGTTGACGTCGAGTCCATCCAGGTGAAGGCCAAGAGCATGGTGGATCATGCAAAATGGCAAGCTCGAAAGGAAGCCCTCGAGGGGGTTCACACTCAGGGCTTCGATATTATGGCCAAAATCGAGAATGCCAAAGCAGAGGAAACCAGGGCCCAGAAGCTGTCCTTTCATGAGGAAGACTCCGGGAGCGTAAGTGAGTCCGAAGACGGGGAAGATCCCGAGGATGGAGAGGCTACCTCCGATGAATACCAGGCTACATAGGCCTTTATATTTTTGCTTTCTTTTGTATCTTTTTTGAGGCCGTTGTAAATTTTTGTATTAGGCCGATCTGGCCTTTGTAAAAAGATTGTTTATATATATATATATATATATATATATATATATATATATATATATATATATATATATATATATATAAGGCTTTTCTATCCCTTTCGACTCTCAAACTTTTCCTTTGTTTTATTGCTTGTGTTCACAAAGTTCAGAGTGACTTAGCACAATTAAGTTGTGTAAGGTTGAACAAACTCTGCCTTTACATTATTCGGTTTTGAGGCGTTTTGGGTTCGGTGTCATCGGAAACTTTCTCCCAAAATAAGTAATTCAAAATATTGTTTGTCGAGGGTTAGCCTTTAGAACCGATTATGAAAATTTTGAAGGCCTATTTTTGTTACGGTTCTCGGACGTCTCCAAGCCGTGTTAATATGGGCGTGGCCTTTTAATTTTGGGTGTAGCCCAGTGAGATTGCTTTCCCGAGTTATCCAGGGTTGCCTAAGATAAGAGTCCCGGAGTGGGTATGGCCATGGCCTTTAAAATTCGGGGGTTGCCTAATAGGTCTTGCATCCCCGATGTTTTAATAGCTCGATCTGTTTGAGTTCGTTTCCGGATGGCAATCCTCGAGTGAGGGAGTAACCATCCGAACTTTGGTTATAATCGGCCCTTCAGCTTGTTTCCTTGAGAGATCGAAAGTACGAAATTGTAAAGTGGAAATTTTTCTAAGACATAAGATAGTTGCAAGGAAAGTACTTCTCTTTATTCTTTGTCAAAAATAGTCATACATGCGTACATGTTTTATGCCAGGGCTCGAGCAATCTACATAGGCATGGTTCGTTCGACCGTTTGGCCCTTACAACAATTCCTACCTATCGACACCCTTCCGTTACGAAATAATTTCCTTGCTAGAGCAATTCGATATCTTAGGGTAATCCCCCCAGTATTCGAGGTTGATTGTAGAGAAATATGGAATACTGTAAACACAATCTTCAATACCAATTCATGATTGTCCTTTGATTCTAACTT